GGTCTGATTTTTGGGTGGTGCTGCGTGGAGCCAGGAGTTGGACTTGATGACCCTTAAGCGTCCTTTCCAGTTTGAGATATTCCATGATGCTCCATGTAAAGAAGACAATATTTTTGAGGACAACGGGCGACTTCCATCTGCCCGCTCCATATACTTACATGTAGTGACATTCTGGAGATCCCTCTGCCTTCCGTTTACTAAAACATCCTAGTTTATCAGCTGGGGGGACCTCACTTATAACCTAAGGCTGCGACGAGCACAAGGGCGTTCATACCCAGGCCACTCCGGGCGGGACCCAAGAAAAAAAAGAACGCTTTCCCAACACCATCCTTTTCGCGGGGCTCTCGCTTAGTGAGCAACGCTACGCCGGACAAACAGACGGCCGGCAGCGCTCTCGGCACGGAGGCGAACGCGCCGTTCCGCAGCGGCAGCGCCCTGCCCGCCCCTCCCCGCACGGCCCGGCCGGCCCCGCCGCGTGGGGGCGGGCAGGGGCCAGGCGGGGTTGGCCGGAGCCCGCCGAGCGCCGCCGCGCGGTACCGCCGGAGGAACGGGGCGGAGGGGAGGCGGTCGCGGTGCGGGGGGGGGCGATACGCCGGAGCGACCCGCGGGGTGCCGAGCCGCCAACGCGGACAGGAGGGCGGCGCTGCGAGAGAAGCCCGCGCGGGGAGAAGTTGTCGGGACGGGGCGCGCGGAGCAGCGGCCGCACAACCGCCTCACGCCGCGCGGCCCGGCCCGCGCCCCCCCGACGCCGCACAAAGCGCCGGGGCGGGTGCCGGGCTCCCCCCGCCGCCCGCGCGGCCCGAGGTCGGGCCCGGCCCCGCGGCGGGCGGCCGCCTCCCCGCCCCGGCTCCGAAGGCCCCCGCCGGCCGAGCCGAGGGGCCGCGGCACTCACCGAGAGAACGCTCATGCGGAGCGGCGCCTCCAGCACGCACGCCATCTTGGCGGACGCAGCAGCACCAACAGCTCCGCCGGCGGCGCCCTCACGCGCGCGCCGCCGCTACCGCCGCCGCCGGGCACGGCCTCATCGCGGGGCGCTGCGCCGCCGAGCGGGGCTGGGGGGACGGGGGGGTGCGCGGGTGGGCGGAGCGCCACAGCCTCGCGGGCGGCGAATCGGCCGACGCCGAAACTCCGCTGCTTGCCGCCGCGGCGCATGCGCGATGGGCTCGGCGCGAGGCGCACGCGCACGCCGCCACCGCCCCGGTGAGGCCGGCGGGAGTGGGGGATGTGGGCTGCGCTCCTTCCGCCCGTCCCTCGCTGGGGCTGAAGCAGGAGGGGGGATTCCTTCCCGCTGGGGTTGCTCGCTGGGTGTTTTCCCTAACGCTTCTCTCAGAGCGCTCCGCGTCTTAGGAACTGACTGAACGGCGTTAGTTTTTCTCAGCTTTTTACGTGCTTTCGTGGAGCAGTTGGTCCTCAAGCATCAAACCGACGGCTAGAAATGCCAGCAGTGCGAGGCTGCGGGGAGGGGAGCTGCAGGGGGCGCAGGTGGCTGCCAGGCAGGGCATGCAGCTGCTGGGGGTCGTGCTAGAAAAAATACATATGCATTAATTACATTTACGTCTGCACTCTGCTCAGTGGATCCTAATATACTTCATTAAAATATAAATATATATAGAAATAGGATGGTTTGGGTTGGAAGGACCTTTCGGATCACCTGGCTCCAACCCCTGCTATAGGCAGGGATACCTCCCATAGCCCAGGCTGCTCACAGCCCCATCCAGCTCCCAGGGAGGGGGCATCCACAGCCTCACTGGGCAACCTGTTCCAGTGTCTCACCACCGTTTCTTCCTAATATCTAGTCTAAATCTATCCTCTTCCGGTTTAAAGCCATCTCCCCTTATCCTGGCACTACGTGCCCTTATAAAAAGTCTCTCCCATCTTTCCTGTAGGCCCCTTCGGGTCCTGGAAGGCTGCTGTAAGGTCTCCTTGGAGTCTTCTGCAGGCTGAAGAGCCCCAGCTCTTTCAGCCTGTCCCATAAGAGAGGTGCTCCAGCCCTCTGATTATCTTCACGGCCCATTGCTGGACCTACTCCAACAGCTTTACATCCCTCTGGTACTGGGGGCTACTGAACTGGATGCAGAGTAGAGGGGCAGAATCACCTCCCTCACCGTGCTGGTTATGCTTCTTCTGATGCAACCCAGGATACAATTGGCCTTCTGGGCTGCAAGTGCACATTGCTGGCTCACATGGAATCTTTCATCAACTGAAACTCCCTAATCCTTCTCCTCAGGGCTGTTCTCAAGCCATTCTCTGCCCAACCTGTATCTGTGCTTGGGACTGCCCTGACCCAAGTGCAGGACCTTGCACTTGGCCACGCTGAACTTCACAAGGTTGGCATAGGCCCACCTCTTAAGCCTGTCCAGGTCCCTTTGGATAGCATCCCCTCACTCTAGAGAGTGCCAACTGCACCACTCAGCTTGGTATCATCTGCAAACTTGCTGGGGATGCACTCAATCCCACTGTCCACGTGGCCTACAAAGATGCTAAATAACACCAGTCCCAACACTGATCCCCAAGGAACACCACTTGTCATGTCTCCACTTGGCCTTTGAGCCATTGACTGTGACTCTCTGAGTGCAACCATCCAGCTAATTTCTTATTGAATAAGTGGTCCATCCATCAAATCCATTTTTCCTCAATTTGGCAACCAGGATTTCATGTGTTGCAAAGCAACGCTGTCCAAGTCCGGGTAGATGACCTCAGTTACTCTTCCTTTATACACTGATAATGTAACTTCATCATAAAAGGCCACCAAGTTTGTCAGGCATGACTTGCCCTTGGTAAAGCCATGTTGGTTACCACCAGTCATCTTGTTTTTATTTTCCACATACCTTAGTACTGTCTTCAGGAGGATCTGTTCCACGATCTTGTCAGGCACAGGGGTGACACTGACTGGCCTGTAGTTCCCTGGATTGTTTTTTTTTTTTTCCCCCCCCCTTCTTGAAAATGGGGGTTGTTTCCCCTTTTCCAGTCAGTGGGAATTTCACCAGGCTGCCACGTCTTTTCATATATAATGGATAGCAGCCTGGCAACTCCATCCACCAGTTCCCTCAGAACCCGTGGATAGATCTCATCAGCTCCCATGAACTTCTGCACCTTCAAGCTCTTTAGATGGTCTCAAACCTGATCTTCACTTACAGCAGGAATATCTACCTTCTTCAAGTCCTTACCACTGCTTTCTGCAACTTGGGCAGTGTCACTTAAGTCCTTGCCAGTGAAGACTGAGGCAAAGAAGTCATTGAACACCTCAGCCTTCTCTGTATCCTTCATGACAAGTCTTCAGTTTCCTCCCAGAGAGGGCTCACATATTCCCTGACCTTCTTTTTAATCACTGATATACTTGTAGAATGTCCCTGGCTAGATTGAATTCTGTTTGGGTTTTGGCTTTCCTAACCTGATCTCTGGCTGCTCAGACAACTTATTTGTAGTCCTCCCATGTAACCCATTCCTGCTTCCACTCCCTACAGCCTTTTTTTTCTTTTGAGCTCAAGTAAGTCCAGGAGCATCCTTGTTGATCCACTGAGGCCTCCAGTCATTCTCGACTGCCTTCTTCTTGGGGTGCACTGCTTCTGGGCTTGGAGGAGATGGTCCTTTCATACCAACCAGCTTTCTCAGGCCCCTCTTCCCTCCCATATCACCCTGGTCTTTCTCCCATATCACCCTGCCAAGCAGTTCCCTGAAGAGTTCAACATCTGCTTTCCACCTCTAAGGAGATTCCAAATCTCTACAGATCCAGAAGTTAGTATTCTATTTTAGTGTTCTCTTGCTTTCTAGAAAGCCAAAACCTCATTAAGCAAAAAGGGCAGGTTGACAACCAAACAAAAACACAGAAAGCCAGACTAAAACAGGCTGTTAAAGGTAACCTACACCTTGAGGAATTTTTCAAGTTCTTACTCTATTTTATACTTACAAATTGCATCTGATACTACAGAGGGAATACTTTATTACCATTATAATCTTCAGATCGTGGGGAAACATAGGCATTAAGATTTTTTTGCCTTGTAGATCCAAGAGCCCAAAGGATACTCAACTATTTTCAGAAACCTAGTTACTTTGATGGTGACTTCAGATGACCTGAGTTTTACTCTAAACACTCCCAATCCTTCATCCTATCTTACCACAGTTCTCTTTGGTGGATGTTGTGACAGACATAGAGATACAGCATTAATACTGTCCTACAACTCAGTGAATAAGGTACTGTCCTCTGGGGGGAGGAGAAACAAGAAACAGGATGTTAATGGCATCAGCACACCAGTATGAAGCTGTTAATCAGAACTGTGGGGAGCACTGACATTTGTTAGCTCTTGAATACTTATATGCTGTTTTATTTTTTTTCCCCCCCATAATGAACTGCTGAGAAACAAAATGCCTCTCAGAACATGAAACTGATGGTAAAGACAGAAGTTGAAGTTTTTACCTGCTACAACCCATACCCCCCAGTCCATTTCACTCATGGTTCCCTGTCCAGTTCTCCTGTAAAGATGCTTTCCTCTTCACACAGCTTGGGCATTCGAGGAATAAAAGCACAGCAGAGGTACTTCTGGTACCAAGGGTGGCACAGTCCTGAGGAAATCCCTCGGACTCTGAAAGCTCAGAGCTTCAGAACACCAGTAGAACTTTCACATGTCATTAGATCCATTAGTTTTACAGTTTAAAAACATCATTCTAATTAATCCATTAAGTTCTGTTATCTTCACAGCCTTTGAGGCCATAAATACGTGATTTGTTTGCTAGTAATTCAGAGCAAACAGAAGAGTAAGAGTAAAAACTTCAATTTCCAAGATCTATATCCTGGCAGGTCTAGTTCACCCTCAGGTTTATAACAGTATTTTGGAAAATTCCAAACTAAGCTTTAAGAATTGGGCAAGTTACATACTAACAAAGAGAGCAGCAGGCAAAAATGTAGGCTAAAGATAACAGTAAGCATTGCTGTCTCAAGCAACTTACTATCAGATTACATGATAACACAACCTTAATTAGAAAGAATTGAGACTGTGCTCACATTCACGTTCAGGAAGCTACATAGCTGCATTTTAATGTAAGATATGTTTCTCAACTTTTAAGAAACAGCACATGAGTTTTTAAGAACAGACATGTAGTCCTCCATGGTCCTCATAAAACTCATGCTAAAAATTGAGACATGGTTCTCTACTGAAGAAGTATTAGAATCCAATACTAGACAATACACATAGTTCTGTTTTTGACCATGAAGCTTTTCTACAGCACAAATGTCACCAGAAGCAGTCTTCACTCTTCTATTGCTGTTTTGTTATCCTGGGAATTCTGCTTTCAAACTTAGTCCATGAAGTTATTGCATATACTACTTTGTATTAAAAAAAATATATCAGTATAAAACAAGACAAAAGCAATAAAAGCAAATAGTTCAATCTCACGAGTCAAACATCCCCTCACTTTGATTTCAGTTACAGTTTAAGAGCTCTCGTTAAACAAGCATGGTGCATCTTGTATAGCAGTACAGCACAGGATATTGAGTAAAAACTGATAACCAAGAACTGAAGCAAAAAAACCAACTGATTATACATGACTCTTAAATCCTTTGACAAAGTACTTTGTTACAGAATTTCACTTGTGACTTAAGTGTTTAATCTAGCGAAACATTCTTCCCTGCAAGAGGTACACTGTGCCTCTTCAGTTTAAGGAAGTAGCATGATTAAGATCAAATAATGTTAAAAGCATGAGAAGTTCACCATAGTTCTCATCACCATTGCATAAAAAGGTGGGGAGAGAACTTAGTTATACATCATGTAGTGTTATTTTGTTTCATCTTCATCCTCTGCAGCATAGATGGCTTGATTCCTTCTCTTAATTTTAATGCCACTGTTCCCATTTTCACTACCACTAACACGCTTTAAAGGTCTCTCATTCAAGCTCTTCTCTTCCACCTGCTTATTCACACCAGATTTCTCTAGTTCCTCATTAGTGGAGTCCATAGCATCATCAGATGATACCGCCATGGAATCTGGCATGATCCTGATGTCAGAAAAACTTGCAGAAAACTCAGGAGGATGATCGGGGGAAGGATCTACGGAACAAGTGCTCAAATCTTCATCACCACCTTCATCATCCAGCATTATTTCATCTGGATTAATGGACGAAAGCCCAGAGTTATCAGTATTATATTCACTAGGTTCCTCGGCTGACCCACTACTGTCCATTTCCTCTTCTTCCTCTTCATACTCTCCACGTACTGAGCCCTCTTCTTTAATCTGCTGGATTCTGTCGTTGATGTCAGTGAGGCCAAACTGGGCACAAAACTCAGTGGTCTGTGGATTGATGGTGTGAACCGGTTCCATGTTTTTTTGGGGCTTGCTGGGATCATAACAAGCAGCTGTCAAGGTGAAGTTACAAGGAATTTTGAGGTCATGATTCAGCTCTTCTAACACCTCCTTGATGGCCTCTTCTGTTGCACTGTAATCCCACCTAAGTAAGTACATCAAGTTAAAAAGAATAATCAAAGCTAATCAAAAGCTATTTTCTCGTTGCAAAGAAAAACTTTTAAACATGGGTAACAAATTCACCTTACACAGACAGTTTCTTAAACTTTTTTTCCTGGAAGGCATATTAGGGCAATACTGACACTGCTCTCCCCAGCAGGGTCTGTGTATTTATGCCAGCTGACCCAGTGAACATTCACAACTCCCCTCCCCCCATAATCCAGCCTGATTTTCAATAGCACAGCAATTGACAAAGTAATCAGCCACCATGTATTTTTTTGCTCTGCAAACAGTGCTAAGTTTGCAAACAAAATTAACTGCCTGTGTAGATTTGTAAGGTAGATGTAAGCTCTAAGAGCACAGCTTGTCATCATCTCCTTCATTTTTCAAATCATTTTACATTCCTCATTCATTCATTTTATCAAATCCTAAAGACATTAGAGACTGCAGAAGAACAGAGAAACACAATAATAATATACATACAATTCCAGCCTCCCTAAGTCACGCTTTACTTTCTACTTTTGCATGCTACTTACTTTGCATGGAGGCCATTATTTTCAGGCACATTCCATGGGCTCTGAGTCACATTAATTAGACTGTTGGTGGCCTTGAGGACTGCAATCCACTCAGCATCATATTCCAACGAGTCACCTGCAGTAGGATCATGCTCAACATCTATTATCTGTTCAAAAGAAACAAACAAACGAACCAGGAGATTAGATATTTCTCTTGATACCAGAAAGTGATTAAAGTTTGAAGTGTTACTTTCATGATACAGAGTTTTAATCAAGATAGAAATACACTAAGTTAGTAGCCTCAATCAAACAAGTCCTCTCAAGTCAGCTATACCTAGGAACTTATTGCCATAAGGAGGTAAGAAAGGACAATCAATGATTACAAGAGGCACTTCCATAACATTTCTATTTTTTTTTTTTTTTTAATCTTAGAGCAATTAAAAGTCATCTCTCTTCTCACTGTTGCCAGCCACTGGATAGTTAGACAATTTAGAAGACAAGAATTTAAACTGTGTCTTTTAAGAAACATGGACAGAATTGAAAACAATGGTTATTTTGTGTCACGCGCATAAACTGATCTAGTTAATTCCGTGCTACGTACGTTCTTAGCACAGCAATGAGGTTAACATCAATTATTTTTAAAAACAGAAAACATATTGAAGCCCAAATCACTTCATCTTCAGTGACAGCAACCCAAATTAAATAATTCAGATGAGCCAAACCGCAGCACTCAGCTCTGATTTTAAATAATACAGAAAGCAATTCAATTTCTTAATGTAGTTCAAAACAGCTAACCACAGATGGATGACCACACTGCTGGAAGTAGACTTATTGTAGATCAGCTCCACTGTGAGATTTTAAGCAAGGACTGGCAGCTCTGTGTGCTTTCACACAGCAAAAGCCCATCATCCTTAAACTCTCTCCCATCTTCAAAAGTAATTAGGGCAAACAACTCCTACCTTAAATCCTAAGGACAGATAATGAATCATCTTACCTTTAAGTCAATAAATAAAAGCTACTTTAAAGTAAAACTAAGACTTGACTGCATTTGACAAACAAGTTCTCAGTAGCTCCCTCCTTTCATATCAAAGGGCTTCAGATTCATCCATTTCTACAGATGGCACTGCAGGCAGCATACACAGGCCATGGACATGAATATTCATCTTGCATTTGGAAAATGAATTTGACACTTCCATTAAAAACTCCTACAGCCTTCCATCACCCTTCCTAGCACCAAACAAACTGAAGTAGAACCACGCTCCTAGAAAACCATGTGGAATCCACTGGAAACAAATTACAACTTACAAATTCAAACAGGATCAAGTCATAAATCCAGATATGAAAGAAGTCACTATCTGACCCAAACTAGGTCAAAAAAGGCCTCAAAACAGGATTGCATTTTAAGTCTGACCTTTATCAGAAACGCACAACAGGAGATTCAGTACAGGTTAAAGTAGAACTACTGATCTACTAAGAAAAGTAATTGTTCTCAACTGGAAGGAAATGATAGGAGAAAGCAAACATCTCACCCACGACAGGATACCAGATCTACTTAGAAGAGCAATATTTACAAAGACAATTCCACCCGTGCACCAATTCCTACTTTCTCGTCAGTCCCTCCTTTTATCAGAAAAAGCCTTCAGCTTGTATCTTGAGCACAGCATTTAGCAATCCATACAAATACTTAAATTACTTAGAGTGAACACCCATGGCACACAGTCATCACCTGCAAAAAGTCTCTGTGAGGCAGACATTTATCCAGAGCCAAAAACTTGGTTGCTTTTGGTAGTTCTTCTTTGGACTTTGTCTAGGAAACAGAAAGTTTTACCAGCATTTATATGAAACTTGTCTATTCCAAACAAGTTATACACAGAAATCTAAAGGCGTATTTTGCACACAAAAATAGTTTCTGAAATAGAGAAGCAGCATAGGATTATAAGAAAGAAATGAAAGGTTAAGGAGAAGGACAGACATCAGCAAAAGTCTAACAAAAATTTGACCACTGATAACAGCAAGCTAAAGCAAGAACCACAGGTCTCCCTCAAACAAGGCAGCTGAATACATTTAGCTTTGATGCCAAAAGAAAACCTTTAACACAATTACAAACAGACTCAAGTCCAGAAGATCTAGAGTTCCATTTCTACAGCTAATGAGTTGCAAATAAGAATAGCACACCACTTTCAGCAACAACACAAACATGATAAGTTTCAGCCTATGGGGACCATTTGTTGTTCTGTAGGCAGCCTGACAACTTCAAGGCACTTTCCCATCTCAGGTTAACCACTACCTCCTCAATTTGTGTCTCTATCTTTGTTTTCAAGTTTTATTCTTCCCCAATAACATGGGGGGAAAGGGCAATTTTCTGTGAAATTAAAATTCAGAAGTTCAAAGTGCAGTAACTTGAGTTATTTCATGCTGCCCTTGAAGAAGATGAGGTGGTAAACACCTCTGATTTATAACATCTCTCATTTACATAAGCTAGTAATTTCAGGACCACTTAATGCTTTGGGACTTAAGCTGAATATTAACTACTAAGCAAGTACACGTTAAGAAGATGCTTTTCTGGACATAACTACCTGCATTAGAACTTTGAAATTATTAGATTACTCAGACACTCCTGGTTTTATTCTTTACCTCGTGTTGCATGAAAGCTGCAAACTTAACATGGAGGTGTGCTGAAAACCAATAATTAGGTTTCAGATGCTGCAGAAGCTCAGAAGCAGCAGGGCTTCCTAGCGTGTTGCTCTCCACTTCTTGACGGAAGAAGGATTTCATTTTAAGCAGCTGTTTCTTGTTTCCATAGTGATATATGCTCCGTGGCCAGTCATGTGACATAAATATGTCCATTGGATGCTTTAACTACCAAGCAAAAAATACATACGGTGTAAATAATACACACACAAGAAAAATTTTAAAATTAAACATAACAAGATAACATGTAATAGCAAGTGCTCTCCTTCAGATTGGATACGGCTAGCTGTGAGCTCCTGGCTCCCTTTTCAAAGGGATTAAGCATAACTGTGAGCACATCTTTCAGGTACCTTTAAGGCTATCGAGGGTCTCTAGTCCCCCTGAGTCACACTGCACCTTCTTGAGGCCAGCAGCTGTGATTTACACATACCATTACCTTGTAAGACAGATGAGATCATTACAGTGTCAGGCACTCAGACAAAGACCGAAAGCCAGATCTACAGAGTAAGTACACACTATCAAAGTAGTCGTCTTCCTCACTGATCTTTTCAAGCTTTGTTTAGAAGAGATAATGGTTAAACATAATATTCCTCCTCAAAGGGAGCATCCCTTAGAAGTCTTATGTCTTAAACACATCTTGGTTCAACAGTCAATGTATTTCCATCAGCTGTATCAGAACACACTTCTGATTGTGTTGAAACCTAAGGCCAGCTAATAAGAAACCTGGGGAAGTGCATCAAGCTCTTTACAAGGGCAGCAAATCTTTGTGCCATTTTTAGCATCTCTGTATGTTCTAAACAGTTCAGCACCCAATGGCTACCTGAATAATCATTCACAAGATGCTTATAAATATACATGTATTCACACTGCATTCTTAGCCACAGAGTAGCCTTTGTGGCAAAGGGGGGGAGCAGGATCAATAATAAAGCTAATCATCCCTTGCATTTCTAGCTGTAGGAGCAAAAAAACTTCAACAGCTGTGATTTGAGATCAGATCATCCAGCTGGTTCGGGGTTGATTAGTAAACCTTGTATCAACCAGCTCAGACATTAGACAAAGTAGCACACATCTTCCTACAGCTAACAAAGCTCAATCACTGGAGTACAGCTGGATTTGTCCCTTACTGAGCTTCAGTCCATTTAACAAAGTATCTCTCGCTCCTGCCTGTCTCAGGTCAAATTTACACTGCTACACAACCTGGTAAAGGAGAGAGCAGGAATAGCAGTGGGGTCACATGCAGCATAAAATGACCTGTCAAAGTTAGAAATTTGTTTGTATGATTTGTTATCTAGCTGTTCAAAACAGCTGTAACATCTCACTTTTAAGCTAACAAATAACATTTACCATTGGTTTGTTTGTTGTTGTTTTTAGAAAACAGACAACAAAAACCACCATAGACTTTTCACCAACCTGCTTAAGTTTGAAGACCTCGATGTTCCTGACATGGTAAGCACTTCTGATCGTTTGCTGATTGTATGGTGGACATTCAAAGTGACCTGGAACATTGAGAAAAGAATAGCTGTTCGACAGATTTTGTATCTCTCATGTAAGGTAAGACAGCACTCCTCATTACTTCCCATATCCCTTACTCACAGACACACTGCACCACCACATGCCATACCTATAACAGAGAGCTATTCACTGCACAGCCACACAGCGTACACATCTACCTGAGCCAGTTAATATCACAGAATCATAAAGGTTGGAAATGAGCTCTAAGATCAAGCCTGACCATCGACCCATCTCCACTGAACCATTTCTCTCAGCGCCACATCTCTATGCCTCTTGACCACCTGCAGGGATGATAATTCCACCGGTGCCCTGAGCACTGTGTCCCATCAGGTCTACGCCTGCACACACACCGACACAGCCACAGAATGTACAGTAGATGGAAACAAGAAAAAGGCATAAGAAAACAAACTATAAAATTACTGTTTCAGTAGTTAGTGTTATCACCTCAAGTCTTATCTCCCACAAGCAATATCCAGATAAAGAAATTGTATGCTCAATAACAACAAATGTAGTTAAAATGCACAGGTGTTAAATAGAATTAAGCGTTCCACAAAACTACTCCGTTCTTGGCAGCTTGAAAACCACCTCCAAAGCCCCTCTGGAGCAGCATGCCAGGAGGGGGGCATCCATTCAGCCACACGTTTAGCAGTGAGACAGACTGAGCTGCCCATCTGCTGACCGCCAGTGTCATTTGTGAGCTGACCTCCAGCCCCTCTCAGACACACACACGTAAAGCTGAAGGGAACAGTCCTACGAGGACAGGCTGAAGGAGCTAGGCTTGTTCAGCCTGGAGAAAAGAAGGCTGCAGGGTGACTTCATTACAGCCTTTCAGTACCTAAAGGGAGCCTACAAACAGGAGGGGAATCAACTCTTGGAAAGGGTAGATAAGTGCAGGACGAGGGGAAATGGTTTGAAGTTGAGGGAGGGGAGATTTAGGTTGGACGTCAGGGGGAAATTCTTAACAGAGTGGTGAGGTGCTGGAACAGCTGCCCAGAGAGGCTGTGGATGCCCCGTCCCTGGAGGTGTTCAAGGCCAGATTGGATGGGGCCCTGGGCAGCCTGGTCTAGCATTAAAAGTGGGAAGGTTGGTGGCCCTGCATGTGGCAGCGGGGTTGGAGATTCATGATCCTTGAGGTCCCTTCCAACCCTGGCAACTCTGTGATTCTGTAATTCTATGGAACCGAACCCTGCTCGGGCCGCCCCCCGCTCCTGCCGTACCTTTCCGGTAGTCGTGCGACTTGAAGATGCCCGAGATGCCGCCGATCCTCACGCCGCGGAACCGCACCACGCCCGCGTAACCTGCGGAGAGGAGCGGCGCGTCACGGCCGGGAACGGGGACGGCATCGGGAGGGGGGGGAAGGAGCCGCACGTACCGAGGTAGTAGATGTTGGGCGCCACCCATCCGCCGTAGGGCAGCTCCTGCAGGTGGTTGGAGGCCTCGTGGTTCCCGCCGATGAACACCGTCAGCACCGGGGCCTTCTTCTCACCGGAGTAGTACCTGCGGGGGGGACACGGCACGCTGCGGCGGGGCGGCGGGGCCGGGCGGGCCGAGCCGGCGGCACTCACCGGTAGAACGTCTGCATGTGGCGGTACTTGGCGGGCACGGCCATGCAGCGCAGGTCCGCCTCGTTACGCACGGCCTGGAAGTCGCCGCAGCAGAGCAGCAGATCGGGTCGCACGTTGTGCCGCTTCTGGAGCAGCTCCAGCGTCTCGTACATCTTATCCAGAGCGCCATGGCAGCACCCCGCCACCGCCACCTTCATCCCGCCGCCGGGACAACGCGCAGGCGCCGACAGTCGTGACGCAGAAGGGGCGCGCGGCGCATGCGCGGTGCCACGGGGGGAGCCGTGCGGGGCAGCCGTGCTTTCTTCGCGGTACGGCGAAACTGTGTGCGGTCTCGGGGTAGCAGGCGGCTGAGCAGAGGGGGTTTTTTTAGCTGGTTTCTTGTGGCCCCGCACCAAGCAGACACGGGGCGTTCGGTGACTTCACCCGGCTGTCTCGTTTTCCCTGCAGATTGCCAGGTGTCGTTTTGCAGAGCAGCGATTTCCTCGTTTTGCGGGGCGGTGGGTTGACTCATCGGGTGGTATTTCTGCGTCATGTAATAACACCGCTCCTTGCTTTTTCCACTTTTTATTTTAACAGTCTGGAGGGATTGAACAAAATTGCAGCGACGCGGTTAAGCATTAACTCGCTGCTGCTTACCCTGCAATCAGGAAACCAAGTAGACATTCCTGTTCCCCTGAAGTAGAAAATATTAACAGTGGCCTCTCTTTGGTTACTAAGAAAATAAGAGTGTTCTCTAACGGGTTCCACAGTTTCACAGCGTTGGGTTACTGTGTGTTCTTTGGGGCTCTTGTCCAAGCCCATCTGAAGTGAAGGGAAAATTGAATTGGAAGCTCTCCTGGCTTCCAATGCCCAGAGTCCTCAGAGAAACAGCAAATCGTCTCTTACTGTGCTCGGCTCTTCTGGTGGCTGCTGGGACTCTCAGCTCTCCGGGAAAGGCTTTGCAGCTTCTCTGGGGGACAGCAGCCACTTGTGTTGCCATGTCCCAGATATGTTGGAAGGCTACAGATAGTTGACAGCAAGGTCCTGAGCCCCAGAAGGTGCCATCTCACCTGGGATGTGCCATCCTCTGGGTCCTCCTGAGGCTGCCAGGAGATGCCTCCTCGCTCCATTTCCCTGGCCAGCCAGGTCCTCACCTTTCCTTTCCTGAGACAGCCTCCTCTTTTCCTGCCTTTCCCCACCCAGCTCAGTCCCCAGCCAGGCAAGGCAAGCTGATGCTGTCTTTGCAGCTCCTGGGTTTGTTATCTCTGGCTCATTTCTGATCCCCATGTGCCACTTATTGCCAGTAAATTGGTGTTGAGCTGAGTCTGTACGTTTTTGTGTTACAGCGTTTTTTGTATCTGTACACCATTCATCATGCATCGTAACTTGCCAAACTGAACTGCGGGTGTTGAGTAAAATTGCTCTGAAGTTTCCACAGCAGCGGGACCACAAAGGGAGGCAGCCACACTGCTACATACAGTGTTAGCAGTGGTGAGTTAATGCTCAGCTCCTTATTGTACTATTCCATCCTTTGAGACTTTAAAAGCCGTATGACTGAAGTGCAGCTCTCCTCCACCACATGATTAACATGTTGGGTTGCAGATCGGGCTCTGCAGTCATCAGCTGTGTTCCTCAGTGTGCTCTGTGTGTCCCTCATTTCTGTGCCGGGTCCTCTGCTCCTCAGTGACCAAATGGATACACCTCCTGTGTGGCAATAGGAACAGGCTGTGAGGAGGGTCCAAAGAAATAAGCTGAGCTCTGTGGTTGTTGGGTTTGAGGTATAGAATCATAGAATCATTCAGGCTGAAGAAGACCCTTCAGATCCCTAATTCCAATCCCATGCCCACTGCCCACGTCCCTCAGTGCCACATCTCCACAGCTCTGAACACCTCCCGGCACGGTGACTGCCCTGCCTCCCTGTGCATCTGTGCAGTGCCTCACTGCTCTTTCTGAAAATATTTTTTTTTCCTAATATCCACCTTGTTGTGCCCTTTCAGCTGTTTCCTGCCTGCACTGATAGCAGAATGTTCGGTTCTTTTTCTCCTGATCAGGCAGTGGCAATGTAAAGCCACAGATGTACAGCAGTTCTCTGCTGAGACACGAGGAAGGACGGGGGGCTGAGGGGACGCAGGGCTGCACCCCTCACGTCTGAGAAGCTGAGAGGGAACTCCTGGAGAAATCCCTGTCAAGATCTCGGTAGCACTTCTGAAGATACTAAAACACGTTTAGAAAGCGCTGGAGTTAAGAGAACAGCAAAGGGTACAACTGTCACTGACTGTCTGGGGAGGGACGGTGTGGCTGAAAGAGGTACAGGGAAGGTGATGGTGTGTGAAACAGGGATGTAACACAGCGGCCAGAGCCGTTCCACTGCGAGGAGCCGCCAAGCAGCAGCGTGGCTGTGTGCGTGGGATGGGGGATGCCGCAACCCAACGACAGCTCGGAGCTCATCCGAAGTAAAAACAAAACAAAACAAAACAAAAAACCCGATGAGATCGGCCTAAACGCCTGCAGGCTCCTCCGCAGGGCTGTTGTGGCGTCTTCGGTCACCTCCTGCCCCAGCGCTGTGTGTTACGGCCGCGCTTTCGCTCTCCTCCCTCTTCACTTGTGCCTTCACCCGTCGCGCCGTTCCGTGCGAGGGCACCGACGGCCTCGGGCTGAACCCGACGCCCGGAGCAGCCGAGGGAACGACAGCCGACGGCGGGGACTCGGCGCGCGCGAGGGGCGCGGGGCAGAGCGCTGAGGCGCAGCTGAGGAGGGGCGGAGGGCGGGAAGCGAGGGGGCGGCGCGTGCAGGCGCGGGGTGGGTGTGTGTGTGTAGTGGGGGTTGGGGGGCCGTTCTCCTCTCCCCTCGGCGCGGGCAGCGCCATTCTGCCGCCGCCTCCAGCTCCTCACCGCCCGGCCTCGACCTGCGGGGCCGCCCGCCCGCCGCGCCTCCGGGGCGGGGCCCCCCGCCGCGCGGAAGGGGCCGGCCGGGCCGGGCAGCATTGCGCGCCCGGCGGCGGGAGCGGCGGTGCCGGCATGGGACGGGGCGCCGCCCCGGCGGGTAGGTGCGGGGAGAGCGGAGCGGGGCCGGGCCGGGCCTCCCGCCCTCAGCCGGGGCGGCGGTCGCTCCACTCGGGGGCCGGCAGCGGGGGCAGGTGCCGGGCGGGCCGCGGGGCGCGATGTCTGCGGAGGAGCCATCCGGCGCCGGGCGGGCGGGATGTCCCGGAGCTGGCGGGCCGGGCCGGGCCGGGAGGAGCGGGGCTCGGCGGAGTGCGCAGGTAGCGCGTCCTGAGCGGGGCGGGGGAGGAAACGCTTCTCGCCTCGTGTGAGCGCTGAAATCCAGTGCGCGTCGCCTCGGGGGAGCTGGGGCGAAGCGCTGCGAGGCAGAACCCCGCTGAGCCCCGCGCTCGGCCGTTGTGAAAAAAGCGCTTTTTCTATTATTTTTTTTTTCTTGAGTGTTTTCTATGAAACTAGAGAAAGTCATTTCTGAGCAAGAAAGGGAGCGGCTTTGGCTGCGAGTCTCGCTCGTTCCCTGGCAGACAAACCCGAGATTAAGCTGGGCATAAACTTGTAAAGTTGTGATTGAATAATGGAATAATTTACCGAAGGACGTGTTCCTACCGCAGCAAGACTCTGAAGGTCATCACACACTGTGCTGGTCCCACGTTATGTAAATATTGTGAAGTCCGGGGCTGATTTTTATTACCTCTGTTCTTCACACTAAAGAAGGAAGAGGGGGGAGATGTGCAGTCTGTGCCTCCTCTCCCTGTAAAGGCAGCCGGTGCCGAGGGGACGTCGTGGCAGAGCAGCCGGGGGTCCCCACGCTGTTTGCTGTGCAGTGTTGCCTTCGAGTGCAGGGGTTTTATTGGTGATGTGTTCGTGGCTTTGCCGTGTAGAAGCAAACTGATGTCGGCGTCAAGAAATAAACGTTACAGGCATCTACTTAAAATAGCCCTCTCCTCGTGATTATTTTTTGTGAATCTTTTGAGTCTGGTAGGTCTGCCCTCACCAGAGGGAGGTTATTCTCATGAAAATGGGGGGGTGATTGACCGTTCTGTTAGGCTATTCTTGATTTTGTAAAATTATTTATTTAATGCCTGTCGGATTCTGAGAAGTTGAAGCAACAATTGACTGCGTACAAAACAACAGAGAAGAGTTGAAGTTCCCTGATGGCATGAGGCCAGTTTCCATTACCTAGACCTCTGCAACTACTGTCATGTGTTATCTTGCTCTCATACTTAGCACAGAGGTACAGCGTTAAAGGTAGCTGTGGTCAAAGTGCCTCAAGTTAAAGTCAGCAGATGTGTGAGTACTGAGAGCTGCCCTGGCAGTGCATGTTCCATCCTCTTTGTCTACAGCTTGCAGTGCAGCAGGTGAGCATGGTGATGTGGGTGATTCAGATTGCTGCAGTGGGGTCCTGTGGTCTTAATGTTCACTATTGGTGGCCACAGACGGTAGATATGATGCTGCACAGTGCAGGTTGTTTTTTCCGTGTTTTTCCTCTCAGGATCTTTTTCTGTCCTTCCTGCAAACCTCCTCACCCGCTCCCTAGAATTACACGGATGTGACTTCAGTCACTCTGAGCTTGGAATATCTTGGTAAAGTTAGAGAGGTTCCCTACAGCTGTAATTCACTGCCTTTATATAAGTGCTTTCCAGTACCATCCTAAATGACTGCGTGCTATTTTTTCCCTATATAACTAGGTTTTCAGCTGTTACACAGAACTGCACCTTTTTGAAGACTAAATTAGGGGTTGGAACTTGGTTTCCAATTCTGGCAGAAACTGGACAGTGAAATAAAACTGTGATATGAAGGAGACTTTCTTATTCAGAATTAAGGCACTGAAGTGCTGTCTCGCAGAACTGGGTTCATATGTTTTACAGGACAAGCTTCCTCTACCAAGTACACTGTTGTATTCTTCCTCATGCTTAGGTCTCTGGATGTCATCTGTGGATACACCAGTGTGGGCAGGTGCAGTGGAGCAGTTTGTTGTGTTTTGGTGGATGAAGTGTTCTGTAGCATCCTGTGCCTTGAAAAATCAGTCCTTTGGCATCTCTAGCTGTGCACTACAAACTGGTGCACTCCTTTCTTTGCCACTATTCTTGCCAGGTAAAATGAAGATAATGGTCATGAATTCATGAGAAGTAGGGGAAATAAGTTAATGTTTAAGAAGCCTATAAATACTATACTGATAAAGAAATTAATCATCCTGATTGTAGAACGCTGTATGAGTAGGAGATACTGAGCAATATATGAGGTCACAGATGTAAGAAAGCTGATTAAAAATGATTGTTCGTTTTAATAGATATTCATATTCATGAATGTGAGCACTGAATGCTATTCACTGAAGTTAGAATGAGGATCTTCACGGTTCTTAGTGTTTATCTTCCTTCTGTGTATCATTTTAATCTGCTTCTTTTTAAATACACAGAGATAAATGGGTAGAACTTGTTTCTTTTGTAAAGTGTCCTGGGTTAATAAAGATACAAGGGAAATGACTGCCTCTGTCCTGCAGAGATGTCAGGCTACAACACTCCTTTTCCTTGGTGGAGGGAAAGGGATAGAAAAGTTAAGCTTCCTTCATTTTCTTCTTGCTTTGATCATGCTGATCTGTGCCTCTGGTGTGGCTTATCCGAGTCATAAGCAGTAAAAGCTGTAGCAGTGCCAGACTTCTTGAATGCTGGGACATGCTGTACCTTTTGGCCTAATTTGTTACATTTCAACAGCTGCTGTCTTGGGAGCATGAGTGGAGGCTGGCAGGAATGGGCTTGTGGAAGGTATGACTGGTGGAAATGGCTGCTTACTCTTTGCTCCTATGATTATGCCTCAGAGGAGAGGATGGGCACAAAGCACAGAACAGGAGTGTTTCTCTCTTCTCACTGACCTGTTGAAGGCGTGCAGTGCTGCCGTTGGTGCCGGGCTGGGATTACCCTGGAGAAATGGATTCTCTTCATAGGCAAAGAACTTTTACCAAAACTCTTGAATACCTGAGGAAATAAGTGAGTAGTGTGGTGTGATGCAGGTGAGATGTGAAGTTAGGGAAGGCAGCAATGAAAAGTAGATAAGCCTCGATTAGATGGGTAATGAAGAAAAATATTGTTAATTTATAGAATTAAAAATCTGTTTTAGCTGGCAGGTAATAACTGGCAGGTGGCTTGCTTGCTATGGGAGAAACTTGTCAGTTTCCAAGATGGTTTTGTGAAACCTGTAAATGCTGACCTCATTAGCAGGGACTGAGGGAATGCCATCTTGAACACTACTCTTCCTTTGTTTTCCTAACGCTTCAATAAAATCACTGTAATTTGTGAAAATTCATTGGATATTGTTGATACTAAATTAACTGTTTCCAGGGAAAATAAATACATCCTGCTAATATGAAGTTATTTTTTCCTTATAAGGATATAAACAGCCAACAGACACATTACTTAATCAAGCTGGCTTTCTGACCTCTGCCCCGAGCCTTGCTAATTATGTGCTTTTGAATCTTCTCCACTTCCAATGTCTTCTGGTTGGTCACCTTATTTTCTGTCAGCATAACAAACTTAAATGGGGCTTATTCTTCCTACAGGTTTTTTTCTTACCTGTGGCTTGCTAAGTTCTGGCATGTCTGTTAATGTATTGGGGCATGCTGAATAACCTAAGATTAACTAATAGCTCTAAACAGACAGAGGAACAATAATTAGTTGGCAAATTATTTAAACTTATTGGGTTGTTATGCAAAAAAAAAATGGCGTGAGCTTTTAGCCTCCTGCTGTCTCATCTGTATAACTGGAAGCCAGTTTTGTGGGACACATTCCTGTCTGGTCAGTTTTGGTTCCAAATCTCTGCAAAAGGAAAGGTGTAGAAAGAGCTTTCTGAAAAATTGAGAAGAGTGAAACTTTCCTTGATAATTATAGCTGTCCCACTCTTCCAGCAACAGAAAGCTCATCAGGGCTCTTGCATTGGTTCTTAGCGATCATTTTGGTATAGCTGTGTTCTGAGACCCTGCGTGCTGATGTTTGTGAGGAGTGCAGCAGCTCCGGAGCGTTAGATAACACTGTGACTTAACCTGAGGGGATCGCACTGAGTAACACTGTGCTCACTAACTGCAAATCGGTATCTCAGAACAATAGTTTAGGGATTAGTGCCAAGCTGGTTTTAAAAGAGCAGTGTAGGCTGTTGTTACTGATACCAGCCCTAATCTTTTTGAGCGTTGGGTTTGTTTTATGCTGCTGTAAACAGGGGCACGTTGTATTTCAGGAAGCGTTTGGTGTTGTTATTTTTAAGCGTAAAGCTATTGAAATAGATTTCCAGGTGTGAAAATTGACTTCTCCAAATTCTATTGACTGTAAAGCAATGTTTATCATCCTGTCACAGATGGTGATTCTCAAGGTCACGTCTTGGAGGTGTGCCTCCATTAGTCCTTCCATTGCTGTGACCTTTGTGGTTCACGGCAAGAATGCAGAAGTCTCACTTCAGCTGGAGAAATTAGGGCTTGGAAGCTATTCAGCAAAAAAGCATGAAAGACAAAGAAGCAAGTATTCTGCTGTTCCTGGGTTTTTGGAGAGTCTCACAAAGTTTTTATTAACTCTTAAAGGAAATATGCTGCCATGCAGTGGGAGGGTAAGTTTTTCATTAACCAATACCTGGTTAAAGTGTAGGAAGAAATGTCAGATTTTTCTAGTGAAGAGTAATCACACACACAACCCCACGGAGATCTGTTCTCAGGCTTGTGTTGCTCAACAGTTGCAAATGATCTGGAACAGAGGCTGAATAATGAAGTGGTGATATATCCTAAGAATTGCAAAATGAGAGTAGTAGAAACAAAAGGTGATTGAGTTGCAGAAGGTTCTAGTGCTATGTGGTGGTATTAAAGGAAATATTAAAACAGAACCCCTGGATTGTCCAGAACCTTTCCGTGTCTGTGATCTGCTTTGGTGGGAGCTTTGCAGGTTTGCTGTGAACGTGTGCTTGTTTTTAGCCTGGTTCCTGGAGCTCTGCTCAGTCACATCTAGTTCTAATACTGGAAGAGGTGAGCAGTCAGACCTTATTCATCCTTTCTGTGCCATTCATGATTTTCTA